TTATGGCCCCAATGAGTCATGCTCATCCATGCCTCTGTGTTATTGCTTAAGTTAATTATTCAGCCTGAAATTCTCCTTCCCTTCCCTTTACTGCTGGACAAACTAGGTTGTTCAAGCAAAACTAAACTGCAGAGCCTCCTTCAATCCTTTCTGTCTGCTTTATACGTCCCTATAGTTTAGCAAATACTATGGTCATAATAGTTACTTGCGTATTCCTCTACCTATTCTCTGGGCTCTAAAACCTCCTTGAGGTCAGGATAGTGACATTCATCTTTTTATCCCCCCTCCCTGAACCACCCCCCCGCCGCCACACACCAAGAATAGAGACTGGTTTAGCGTAGACATCAGTAAATGTTCTACTTCCCTATTTTGAATTATGTTGTCATAAAAAAAGTATTGTTCTCTCACTGCTTTCTCTAGTAAAAGTAGTTTAAGAGGTCCAATCTGCCAGTTTTTAAAAAGAGTGAAAGAAAAATCCAGGGATGTAACTGCATTGCCTTTAGCTAGAGGTGGTTTGAGGATATAATCTTTATGGTTGCCAATGACTTCGTATTTTGTGACTCTTCAACTGTCCCGGCATATGACTTGCAGAAAGCATTACAGAAGTAGGCATTGAATCCCATATCTGTCAGGTGGTCACATAAACAAGCACAACTTCTAGATGAATTTGCGACTCTTAAAAACATAAATGTAGTTCAGGGACTCTAGTTCCTAAAAAAGAATGCAAAGGCTACAATTTTAGTAACATCCTCTGGACAAGCATAAAAGATGAACTTAGTCACATTTGCCAGCTTCCAGGATGAATAATGCATTGTCAAAGCAGAGGGATTACCTGTGAATTAAAATAATGCTGATGGGGAATAACCAGAACTTGCTTTTATTTTATTTATTTTATTGTATTTTTTCAGACAGGGTCAGCTCCATTGCCCAGGCTGAAATGCAGTGGAGCAATCAGAGCTCACTGCAACCTCCACCTCCCAGGCTCCAGCGATCTTCCCACCTCAGCCTCCAAAGCAGCTAGGACTGCAGCCACAGTGGACGGATTTTTCCATTTTATGTGGAGACAGGGTTTTGCCATGTTGCCCAAGCTAGTCTGGAAATTTTGGGCTCAAGCAATCAGTCTACCTCAGCACTTATTTTAAGTTGTGTAAAAATAGTTACTAAAGCAACAAGTTGTTTACAATTTTGGTTGGTTTCTTATTTCATCTCTTTGAGTCAGAATAATAGGGCATACAAATTTGACTAATTCTACTATCACGGAGCAATATGGACTATTTTCACACATAGCTTTAAAGTAATTCTTGCAGACCGGGCACGGTGGCTAACACCTGTAATCCCAGCACTTTGGGAGTTCAAGGAGGGTAGATCATGAGGTCAGAAGTTCAAGAACAGCCTGGCCAAAATGGTGAAACCTCATTTCTACTAAATATACAGAAATTAGCTGGACATGGTGGTGGGTACCTGTAATCCCAGCTACTCAGGAGGCTGACTCAGAGAATTGCTTGAACCTGGAAGGCAGAGGTTGCAGTGAGCCAAGATCACTTCACTGCACTTCAGCCTGGGTGACAGAGCGAGACTCCATTTCCAAAGAAGAAGAATTGTTGCAATAAGCAATGGGAAAACGGAAGGAATCATGTACCAGGTGGAGACAGAAGTGGGAAGATCGGGACAGAACTGGCAAAACCCCTAAACACTGCTGTCATTTACATATTCTAGCATCTGACCGATTCTTCTCTTTGTGGCCCTCATTTAAAAAACACACTCTGGGAGAGAAGTACTTCATACAACTAATTCACACTAAATACCACAGACAGATAAGATCTCTTTTCCATATGAAATCAGGACTCTTGATGTTAGTGCACACCTGAGAACAGAGGGCAGGGAGAAAGTCCCAGTAAGTTAAAGTATTTCTGGTTTTTGTTTTGTTTTGTTTTTGTTTTTAAAGACAAACAAGGGACATATTGCAGCCTGTACTTACACCCTTCACTGAAATGGTCTGGGATGATCTCCTTTTAGATGTCACATGGATGAGTCATTGCTTAAGGTGTGTAGCTGACTTCCAATCCACTGGACATTGCATTTGGAGTGATCTAGCTTCATCTGCTTTCATCCAACTCTTCTTTCTTGGGCTATGGGGCTGTTAAAAATTTAGGCTTATTGCCCTTTCCCTTTAAAACCATAGAGGGTGAATATTAGCTACAGAGTAGTCAAAACTCTTTTCCTAAATTAATTATCTGTTTCTGTTTAATATTTTATGTCCATTGCTTAACATCATGCCTAATACACAAAATGAAGAAGTTACTTGTGAAACAATCAGTGATGGATGGTTGGAAGGATATGTAGGAGGGAAAGCTTATAGGAAGCTTTGTTGTTTTCTTCCTATGCGAGGCAGATCACTACTATAGGAACCCTTTCTATACTTCCCAGTTATCTGCAAGAATCAAACTAAGGTTACAGGCATAAAAATGTGTTAATGCATTGATTCGTAAATATCTCTAATCAGATATTTTGGTCAGATTTGTAACATCTACTTAATTGTTGATTGACAGCATCTCATAACACAGGTGCCATGTCTTGCACCATTTTGAAAAGCAAAGCTGAACTGAGTGCTAGGACAGATTCCTCCAGTGTCAAGGCTCTAGAGAGAAAGTAAAATGAAGGTAGTCCAGGCTGAACAGCCACTTATGGAAGTATAGTCAGTCTTAGATCCTCTAGTACATTTGTTATAACAGAATTCTGAAATGCGTAGGTCAAGTGACCATTCCTCTTGGAGGAAGTGTAAAACTGAGTATAACGCAAAAAAAGAAGCAATTGGTGACTTAATTTTATAGCAATAATATTTTTGTTTAAATATAGATAAAACACAGAAACTACCGAAAACTATTTTCACAATAGCAAGTAGACAGTCAAGGTTAAATTATTTAAACTTGTTTTTTTGTGTGTTTGGGTACTATATCACATTTTCAAATAGGTGGGCCTTCCCCTGATATTTTGTCAAGAATCATCAACAGTATTTTTAGCAACATTCCTTTTTATGTTTAATCTGGTAGCAGATGTCTGGGTGGCAAATTGAAATTTCAAGAATAAGAAATTAAAAAATTAATCCAGTAAGAGAAAAACATTGAGAATATTAAAATATCTAATATAAATTGTATACTTAGCTCCTTTCTTCCTTCCTCTTTTACATTTTCTTTTCTTTTCTGTGTTCTATTTGCTTTTATCTTTTCTGTTCTTCATTTTTTTTTTCCAGTTAGATAGTATTCTGGCCACAAAGAATAAGGCCAAACATTTTGTGAACCCTAAACATAGATTAAATGGTAAATTATCTTATACTTCAGCTATCTTCATTTAACAGACCGTTTAATGGATCAATTTAGAGGATTATACCAAATCTAAGAAAGCACATTTACATTAGCTACTTTCTTATAAAAAAAGTTTGTACTCCAAAAAGTTTTCATTGCTTCCTATTTTGTCTGACAGTCCTTTCTAATTTCCGCTGGTATAAATCAATTTACATTTATTCGCTTTGTACAAAAGAACTCCTGTAAGTTTTTAATAATAATTATCATTATCATTGATTAAAGTTATATTGTTCAGGCCAGATGGAGGCCTTTTCCTGTCAGCTACAATGAGCTTGCATTATGTTGTTATAATGTGTTTGGCTCTAAATAAACAGATGGCAGAGTGACAGGATATTATATACTGGTGATGTCAGCCGCAGTACTTCACAAACAGCATTGCTTTAAATAAACTCTGTTGTAGCAAAGATTCCTGTACTTTTAAGAAGATGATTTGAATTGAACCTAAGTATTGTATTAATTTGGAAATAGTACAGTTTAATTCCTCAAAGGTAGACCATCTGAATGGTCTGAGGCTCAGCCAGAGGAAGCGTCTGTTGAATCAGTATGTTAACTGTATATGCATTCAACAGTAGAGCCTCACTTAGGCTGTAAGAACTTTCTGGTTGAGGAATTAAAAACTTAAAGAAAGATGGGAACATCTTGATCAGACATTATTTGATAATATTTATAATATAGTTCACTTTTCTAAACATTTTGAATGGGAGTAGCCTATTAACAATTAATATTAGACAATTGATAAGGTTTAATAAGAAGCATTTTAGGAAATGTCATAGAAAACATGTTTATGGAAAAATTTTACTCTTTAATAGATTTTTAACATCTGTTTTTTAATTCTAAAAATGAGTCATGTGCCCACAGAAATTTAGATGAACGTATGAAATTCAGAAATAAGATTCAAAGGAAGTCATTTTATGTGATTTCTTCTATCCAATATTCTTTATTTTGAGTCCTGATGGGAATTTCTCTGTAGGACAACTATGTTTGTTGAGGCAAATACCTATGGCAGAAGAAGATGCCACTATAGGAGATTTAGGCTTATATTTGAAAATGCAAATCATGTTAATAAACATTTTAGAAGTACATATTAAATAATTAAAATTAAGCTTTCAAAAATATAGCTTAAATGCATAATTTTATTCTGATAATTTTATATTCTGATAACTTTTCATGTGTTTATAAGAATATGTTCTTCTCATAAATTTCAACTTATTTTAACTCTTGCTTTACTTTTTAACATGTTGCTTTAGGTAAGATGTGATCTCTGGAAGTTATGTCAAGTAGAATAGATCAAGAGAATAATAATGCTCAATAGTCAAAGTGAAACTTATTTAACATAATTATTTGCTTTTGATTTTCTAAGAAAATTCACAAATTCATTTATTTTAATTTTCTATAAAATAATAAGACGATTTGAATACAAGGGGATTGTACTTTATTTTCACATACATTTGACATTTTATATGTGAAAATATATAAAATTTTCCTACTTAAGTGGCATTTTATGGACTATGTTTCCACTTTAGTATGACATAAAAATCCTCATAAAGGAGCAGGAGTATTTCCTTTGAGGAGTTACTCCTAGTCAAGGAGTGAAAGATTCTAACATGAATGTCCTTTTCCCCTTTTCCTGTTCTGCAGGTGGACGTTGCCATAAGTCCTGTACTGGCCGTTGCTGGGGACCCACAGAAAATCATTGCCAGACTTGTAAGTGTTCATCAGCGAGAGCACACAGGTTTGATGTGGTCAAGGAATTTTAAGGATTAGTACATTTCATACCTCTGGTCATCTAAAACATAAAATGAGCTATTGCCTCCTTGTGGTTGATTTGCTCTGGTCCACGAAAACTTCCCAATTTCATTGCTTTCAAATGGAAATTAAGATATAATTGATTCTTAGGTTTCTTCATGCTTTCTAGGTTAATGATCTCAACAGCACAGCTGTGGTGGTATTAACTATATCTAAGAGTTTTTACATCAGTAGAAGTGGGAAATCCAATGTTTATAAAATAGTAACTCAATTTCAGGTTAACTGGGTCTCTCAGTCCCTTCACCAACTAATTATTTCACTATTTACTCATTAGAAAAAGAAAAGGAAAGTAAAAAGAAAGGGTATTATATACCTACTGTATTCCAGGCACTGTTCCAGGCACAGAGACACGAACTTTATGCATTATGGAAATAGTCACCATTATTGACAGTAACTATTGCCCTTAGTTTATGTTGTTTCTTGGATTAGTCATTAGCTGAAGAAAATATGAAGCTATCATCATTGCTAAGACATATAATAATAAACCATACTGAGTATAAAGAAAAGTATCTAGTTTTTTCAGCATTCTTAATGTTGTTTAATACTCAAATCAGCACTGAACTTTCATGAATCTTAAGAATAAATGATTTCTTTAAAAATGAAAAATAAAATATCCTATACCAGTAGTAAACATACATTCTTCCTGTAGCAATAAAAATGACTGAAATAAGTTATGGAAAAAAGTGTCATGACGAGTTGACATACATTTCTTTATTAGCATAGATGACACAGAAAATATTATTAAAGATTCAAACATATCAAATATTAGACATTGTGGAAATTTGTTATACTCTTCGGTGAAAGTTTACAGATTTCTAATAATTCCCAGTTCACAATATTTGCTAGATTCTATTTTAATAAAGAAATACAAAAAGAATCATTTTATTGTGAACCACCAAAGAATAAAAATATATGAAAGCTATATTTGCAATGATAAATGATTTCTTAAATTTACTAACTTTAATTCATGAGCATTCTCATGCAAAATTTATGAAACAGAAAAGAATATAAGGTAAAATCATAACTTCCCATGTGGGTCTCACCTTTTCCCTCAGCCATCCGTAGGCAACAAATATTATTGGCACTTTGGTGCACTTTTCCAAAAATAATTTATGTATACCCAAGGAAGTATGCATTCAGCATTTTTTATTCAAATATTAGCATGTTTTACATGTTGTACTGCAACTTGATTTTTTTCAACCCATGCGTGTGTATGAATTATTTGTAGTAATGTCTAGAGGTGAATTAGTAGAGTCATATACATGTGGATTTGGAAATTGGTAGAGCTTATTAAAATGGAGATCTTGTTTTCTATAGAGGTTGAAACAATTAGCTCTGCTGAGAGCAGTGTATATAAATGCCTGTTTCCCTCTCTATTCTTTGGACAAAGCAGTTCATTAGGGAATTTTTAGATCTTTGTCAAAGGGTTAGATGAAAAATAGTATTCACAGTGTAGATTTAAATTAACTTATTTAGTAGAAACAATGTTTTATGGCAGGAATTTTTTGGCAAGAATTTTAAAAAGGTTTCTAAATAAGATGAGATTATTGTGTGAAATTCATTCACAACATTTGGAGACATTCTTTTAATAGCAAAGAAGTCAAGGCTAGGTCGCATTGCAATGCTTGTATGACACTGATTGGGCCACTTGCTTGAAGTCAAGTTCTCTAAAATAAAAGAAAAATCTGCAGCACTGTGATGAAGTAACAAGTAACCAAAGAGACTGTGAAAGTGCTAGTTATCCACTGTCATTTCATGGCAAAAAAAGCTTCTGAGGTAGCAAAATTAAAAATGAGTTTTTACTCACTCACCTACTTATTTATTCATTTATTTATTTTACAGAAGGGTCGAAGAGGCTTCTGCAAAAGCTCTTTGTTGTGGCTGAGCCACTCTGGTGGGCCCAGACACATGCTGTCTCCTGGTAGAGGAGGGAAATCTCAGGCCCATGGGGCTCAGCTAGTATTGTTGAGGGACTCATCATAGAGCTGAGGGATGAAGGAGCTTAAATTTGGGAAACGCTGGGGTGCATCTCTCTTCTGCTGGTGGGAGATTTAAGACACCCTGCTGTTGTGTTTTTCCTCCAGTGCCAGATACCAAACCAAAATTACTTCCTCCCACCACCTTTCAGATTTCTACTTTGGTTGACTCTTGTGTTACTTTCAGGGTTTATAGTTGAATTTAAAAGGTAGGAAGAAAAAGGTCTCTGTCATCTTTCTAGTTCCGAAGTTTCATATAGTGCATTCAGTAATACTATTAATAATTTAAAATTATTTTACTTACTAATTTCATCTGTGTCTTCTTTTATGTGTATTTTTACAGATTACAAAATGCAGTAGTATAGTTAGATTATATGTATAGATTTTACAGTCATCTCTTGTATCACTGGTTTCCACATGGCAGATTCAAGCAATTACAGATCAAAAATATTTGGAAAAAAAAATAGGATAATAAACAATTAAAAATAATACAAATAAAAATACATTTAAAATAATACAAGTAAAAAACAATACCTTATAACATCTATTTACATAGCATTTACATTGTATTAGGTATTATAAGTAATATGAAGATGATTTAAGGTATACAGAATGATGTGTGTAGTTTGTACTCAAATATTATATGCCATTTTATATAAGGGAAGTGAACATCTGTGGAGTTTGGTATTTATGGGGATCCTGGAACCAATTTCCTGCAGTTACCAAGAAAGACTCTGTGTATACATATTCTATATCACATATACATAGATGGTGAATAATTATTCTCAGATTGAGATATATGAGTAGAAAACTTGAAAATTACTGTATTTGGGTAAAATGAGAAAACAACATATATGAATTTTCTCTAACTTTGATTGAAATTTTCCTTCAAATTGTAGAGTGCTAAAAATTCTGAACCTTTTAATTTATTTTAGTAGATCTGCTTATGTTGGGTAAAATTTACAAAAGTTGTAATTTCCACTAACATCTCTTATTTTTATAATAGACCACTTTCAAGATAATTGTCAAGTAGACACATCGCCTTCTCTGAAAAATACCCCCTTCTAGATGATCAGTCCCAGTAGGCATGTTTGTTTTATGCGACACTTTACCCCTTTCTTCCCAGGGCAGTGTTTTTTAACCAGAAGTGATTTGCCCCACAAGGGACATTTGATAATTTGGGTTAGTCACATCATGGAGGTGGGGTGGGAGGGATTATCTTCTGGCACTAGTAAGGTAGAGACCAGAGATGATGCGAAATATTCTACAATGCATAGGAAAGCCTCTCCTACCCCTACCCAAACAAAGCATTAGTCAGTAGGAATACAAAATAGTACTGAGGGTTGAGAATCTTGTAAGGTGGTAGATAATTGACCAGGCTGGGCCCATCAGATTCTCTTTCCAGGGAATTTAGATTTGGAATCCAGAAGTGTTGGTTACACAACCTTGGAAACTTGAACCTGAAGAGATGTTAAAGCTATTTGAGGTTTCCATTTTTGGATCATGCATGTTAATAAGAAGCAGAAAGAACCAATCATCAAAGACAGTAAAGAATAAAGCAGTCATAAGAGAGTTGAGGAAAGGAAGAGTAACAGTTTTTGACAATGTTTACCTCCTACTTCTCTGGGTTTCACGAGGTCTAGCCACACTTCTGTCCTTAGATGCTGTAAGAAACATGATGTTCTTCTAGCATATTTAAATGGAGTTTTATTACTTGCTACCAAATGTAGGTGGGAGGGAATTTTGACTAAGAAAATAATCAAGTTATAATTCATGTATGAAATCATCAGACATGAAGTTACTTATTTCAGCTAATTTTTCAGCATAGAAGCTATCCTTTCTATAATTGGTTTAACGGTCACTGTGCTTACTCCACAAAGCCTACCAAATTTAAACTCAACAATACATGTACCTAATATACACAAATACAAATTTTATTTTATTTTATATTATTTTGTTTTAGAGACAGTGTCTAACTTTGTTGCCCAGGCTGGAGTTCAGTGGTACAATCATAGCTGACTGCAGACTGCAGCCTCAAACTACTAGGCTCAAGCAACTCTCTCACCTTGGCATCCTGAGTTGCTGGGACTGCAGGCACGTGCCACTGCACTCAGCTGCTTTTTTTTTAAAATAGTGACAGGAGTCCCTCTTTGCTGCCCAGGCTAGTCTTGAACTCCTGGCTTCAAGCAATCCTCTCTCCTTGGCCTTCCAAAATTCTAGGATTGCAGGTGTGAGCCACCACACCAGCCAAATTTTAGAATACTATACAAATTAACATAGAACTTTATTAAACATTTCCATTTTAAAATTTCATATTCATAATATTTCTGTGAGTTAAAAAGGGAATTTACATTAACCCCATTTTAAAATTGAGAAACTATAACTAGATAAAATGATTAAAGGGTGAAATTCACACAGCCAATACCTGTAATTTTAACCTTAGTGTTCTGAATCTAAAGAGAACCATTTCCTGGGTACCGTATTTTATAGCACAGGTTAGTAGTTGAGGATGTTGGATTTGAAATTAGCCGAACGATACAAATCCCAGTTGTTTCCACTTTCTATCGTGGGAAAATGACTTCATCTTTTAAAATATCATTACCATGTCTATAGAATGGACATAATTATACTTAACTGAGGGTTTTTTGTTTGTTTGTTTGTTTGTTTTGGCAGGGGGTGGAAGACGAGGGGCACAATGAAACTCAATACAACAAAGCAGTTGAAGGGCTTAATTTTTAGCATATACAAAACCCAGTCAATAATAGCCGATGTGATAATAAACTAAAAAGGTTACTGTTACAAAACGTACCCCAATTTGAATCTGAATGAATGGATATGGAAGGCAAGCTCCTGTAGACCGGTTCCACCTTGTGAAGTCTACTGACACCTGGTGGCTGGGAAATGGAAAAGCAAAAGCCCCGG